ATATATATATATATCAACCTCAGGTTCGATGAATATGGGGAATATTTACCTCGCCGCTCCACTCAAATCAATGTTAAACATTTTTTTTCATTTCTACCCAACAGAGGAGACATATTAGTGTTTCTAACAGGACAAGATGAAATCGAATCGCTGGCAAAACTAGTGGCTGACTGCGCACAACACTGCCCACCAGGTACAGTATGATACTCAGCCCTAGGTATTGTTATTTATAACACGTAAAAAATAATGTATGGGGGTAGCGCTCTCGCCTGGGACAAGCCCAAACCCTAGCGCGTGAACGACATTCTGAATTCAAACCCTTCTTCATCCAGGGTGGGTGGGTGGGTCGCTTTGCCTTTTTGACGGCGACTACAGCCAAGCGCATTGGGAAGGGAAACGTGTTCCTTTATACATTTATTCATTAATCCCTAGGGCTATAATTTCTAAATCGAATGGACTTTGAATAGGGTTAATATTTAAAAAATTAGTCTTAAAAAACATGATGAATGTCAAGGGAGAGAACAACACATCAAACGCAATCCTATTTACTTGTGATGTCCATGTAAACTGAAACGCTCATCATTTTATCGTTATTCATAGATTGCCCCAAGTTAGTGGTGTGCCCTATGTTTGCAGCACTGCCATCGGGTCAACAAATGAAAGTGTTTCAACCAGCTATGCCTTGGACTCGTAAGGTTATTCTATCTACTAACATTGCTGAGACATCTATTACGATACCAGGAGTTAAGTATGTCATTGATACAGGATACGTGAAAGCTAAAGGTAGATTTTAAATTTTATTTCAATGTACTTGCGTTTCTTGTATTCAGTCTTATATCTTACTTGAAAACAAATCCCTGATGAAGTGGTTTGGGTTGCCTTTGTTGGGTTARCCGAGATTTTCAGGGAGGGGAGGTAGGGGGACTGATTTGGACCGTATGAACACTGAAGTCTTAAACTGTCTTTTTTTTGGTTGTTGTCTGTCTGTGTGTATGCTTGTCTGTATAAAATATTTACTCGAGTCTGGTTTTGCTTTCTTTTCTTTATGCTTTTTGTTTTTGTTTTGTGTTTGTGTTTGTGTTTTGAGAGTTTTTCAATGGGATTGGAATGAGACTAAAATAGGTTTACTTCCAGCCTAGGTCTGTCTCATAGATGGGCTCCATGTTTGTTCTTTATCCTATCTATCAGCTTGTTTGCCTAGTGTTTCAATGTGTTGTATCTTTTCTTTGAATTGGGAAAGAAGTTCCTCTTTATATTGACCATATTGGTTCAGTCTGTCTATATGTCTGTCTGTCTCATGAGTAGATTGTACCGTTCTAGTGATTCCTTTTTGATGGGGTTGGTGGAAGAGGAGACATATCTATCATGTTGGTTGGTTTCTATTTCATTCTCTTTGTTGGCCTCTTAGCGTTGTCGTTTTTTCAATGCCATAGCAATTTCTCTTCCAGGTTTCCATCCAAAGACAGGACTAGACATGCTCAAAGTCCAGCCAGYCTCCAAGGCACAAGCGCGTCAAAGACTGGGCCGTGCTGGGAGAGAATCCAGTGGCTTTTGTTATCGCTTGTACACCGAAGAACAATTCGAGGAACTTCAAGAAATGACGATACCTGAAATCCAGAGATGTAGCCTCTCTTCTGTTGTGCTGCAGCTGATTGCTCTGGGAATAAATGATATTCTGAAATTTGATTTTATGGAMAAGCCTACTGACGGAGCTATCGAAAAGGCGTTGAATGAGCTTGAAATACTTGAAGCGGTAGAGAAAAGAGACGGACAATATAAGGTACGATGGCTTATTACTCAGACCTAACTGCTCCTAGATTAGATAGTTTCATTACAGAGGGATTCTAGTAGTTTAGCATAATGTTCTTGCTTATTGTTGCGCAAGTAGTATTCCAAAGGGGTGTGGTATTTTTTTTAACGATGTGGTTTAGAAAGTGTAATAATGATAGAGATGGTCTTGGTAATGATGATACTGGTGGTGTCGTGGTCATTTATTAACGTCTAGAGCAGTTTTCGTATGACTGTGAAAAGCTCTGTGCCGTATGCTTGTCTTGCAGTGACCGTGATGTTTTCTAGAATCTTAATTGGTTTGATTGCTTTGTCGAGCAATATTATTGGTCTGGCAGTGCTGTGCCTTTGGCGTGACAGTTTCCGCACCGTGATCGTGCTGTGCTTCGGGCATTTGATTGGATGCAGAGCAAATTCTCGTTCAATGTGATTGGTGTAGCGTATGCCTTGCCGTGTCACGACCGTCTTGTGCCGCGAGCTTTTCACAGTAATACGAAAACTGCTCTAATGGCCTTGGTGTCGAGGATACACGATAATGCATGGAGATGATAAGTAATAATGTGGACCTAAAAGGATGTATGATGATTGTTTTGGTATGGAGGTATGTTKATGTGTGAAGATGGCACTCAAGAAGTGTGAGAAGCACCYGCCTAAGGCACGTGTTTCTCCTTACACTTCTTTCGTGCTTACGTCGCTTCCTGCRYGCTTTATTACTGAACGGATCACGGAAAAAGCTGTTTTATTTGTTAATGACAGTGGTGATGAGGATGATAATGCATGGAGATGAAGATGGAAGTGATAATATTGACGTAAAAGGATCAGTGTATGACGATTGTTTTGTTGTGGAGTTATGTTTTTTTATGAAGATGGTTCGTATGTTTATCTATTATGTTAGTGATGATGATAATTCTTAACCACATTCTCTTCTGTCTTTGTACTCCCCAGCTTACTCATGTTGGATATAAAATGGCAGCATTTCCCCTTGAACCCAAGCTATCCAAAGTCATTTTAGAATCAGAAAACCTCAACTGTACAGAAGAGATCCTTACTATTGTAGCACTTCTCTCAGCGGATGCAATCACATATACACCCCACAATCAACGAGACCGAGCGAACGCAGTGCGGAAAAAGTTCCTTTCCTCTGAAGGCGATCAAGTTACCCTGCTTAACATCTACCGGGCTTACAAATCATCCGGGATGAATAAAAACTGGTGTTATGATCATTTCATCAACATGAAAGTCATGAAGATGGTCATTGATGTTCGCAAGCAGCTGAAAGAGATTTGTACACGTTTGGATATCAAGATACAATCATGTGGTAAAGACACTGGTTGTATTCGGCAGTGTTTAGCACGTGGTTTGTTCATGAATTCAGCAGAACTGCAGCTTGATGGTACGTATCGGACTGTCACTCATCATGAGGTGGTAGGGATCCATCCATCATCTTCGCTGTTCATGACTAAAGCTCCATATGTCGTCTACAATGAACTCATTCATACGTCCAAGTGCTACATGAGGGATGTGTCTGTGGTCTCACATGATTGGCTGCTTGAGGCGGCGCCGAAGTTTTTCCAAGAACACCGAATCAAACCACCACCTACAGCTATCACATCGTAACCATGGTAATAAACTGGTACCATAACGACTTAATTGATTGACTGGTTGAGGCGGCGCCGAAGTTTTTCCAGGAACACCGAATAAAACCACCATCTTCGGTTATCACATCGTAACCATGGCAATAAACCGTTACCGTAGTGACTGAATTCTGGTACAGGAGCCACAGTTTTCAAGTTGACATTTTTTTGAAATCAGTGTATTGTAACCATGGAGATATGATTCCACTAAATACAGCAGGT